TATATATATATATATACAGGATGTTTGATAAGTAACAATAAAACTCGCTTAGAGGTAGAATAGATTAAACTGAGTCAAAAAGTTCTGTATCATTTTACGATTTTCGCGATAAATAACAAGATATCAATACTAAAAATCACCGAATATTGGTTTTTTATTCAATAATTTTTTGCTCAAGTACTATCAACTTTAGAGAGGAATAGCAAGAGACAAACAATGTTTATTTTTTTCTCACAGAATTTTTCAGAATTTTTCATCAACTTTTTAGTATTGTATTTACTTATTGGCGCTTATTTTCATCAACATGAAAAAATGTGGTACTAAAAAATTCTCAGATCTAAATTCTCTCTCTATGAGAAAAAAATAAATAATTTTTGTCACTTGCTGTTTTCTGTAAAATTGATAATACAGTCAAGCCATAAGATTAACCTCCATTTTTGTTTTAACCTTAACAAAAGTCATGCTTAACTTCCCAAGTTCTCATATAATAATCGAGCACATGCTCGCGCATGCGCATTTGTTTACTTTTACGGAAGTCCGTCCTGACAAGTTACTTTTATAGACGTTCGATTGTACTTGAGTAAAATTATTGAAAATCAATATTCAGCGATTTTTAGTATTAATATCTTGTTAATTATTGCGAAAATTGTAAAATGGTAGAAGACTTTTCGACTCAATTTAGTTCGCTTTATCCCTATGAGAGAGTTTTATCGTTATTTATCAAACACCCTATATATCTATACTCTGTTCAACGAGATTTATCATCTTTCGGATATAGGAAGTGACATAATAGGCAAAGTGGCAATGTATTTTATAATTTTGTATTATAATTTAATTTTATAAGTTTAATTTTGTAAGTTCGGCCCGCGAGCGTGCCATATTTACATATACGATATAGAATATACTTCCATTTTGCTCGTTATCTTCTTCTATGCGCAAACAATAATCTCTCGTTAATAATCTCTCATTGAACAGAATATATAGAGAAAAGGCTCCTATTATGAGATATTGAGTTCATTTTGGATAAATGCTAGAAATCTATTGTTTTGGGTCATCTAAAAAATATCCGCGGTTTTTTGTCACTAGATGTGTGTTGATGGTCATATATCTAGTGACAAAGTACCGCGGATACTTTTTAGATGACCCAATACAATAGATAAGCAGACGTTTATAAGCACAAAAAATAATAGGTCATTTTAAAGGGAATTTAAGAAGGCAATAGGCACAGGCAATAGACACAGGGAAACGATCCAATTAGAGTTCTGGGATATAATATCAACTTACCAGAGCTCTGATTGGACGACTTGTTATTCCCTGTTGCCTGTGCTTATTGCCAGTGCCTATTGTATTTAAAACCTTACGCTTACGCAGGTTACGCCTCATGTGACAGCATCCTAAAACCTGATGTCCACGATAGGGCCTGAGCACAGGAAATTTGTCATAACACTTGCTTAGAGATTTAAATTGTAGACGTAAGTAATGCATAAGCTTTGGTATATAACGTACGACTTATTGCCGTTTCTTGGAGACACGGCAATAAATCGTATCCGAGACTTCGGATGAAAAAAAAATTGACCAATCGCAATCGGTCATGTTATCAATTGTTCAAATGTGATTTGTTAATTTTTTCTCTATCCGGATTTCTAGCATCGTGGATACAATATAAGTACATACAGTATGGACACTGAACTTTTTATGTAGTCCCAATTTTTAATGCGCATGCGTCGATTTCCAACCAGGAATGTGGTTATCTTCAGCAAGTTGAAATTGCAGATTAGGTTAGGTTAGCTGATCTCCTTCCCAAAGGAGACATAATTAATCCTTTTGCCTACAATATTGTGTGAGACTGGTTAGAAAATTTGGCTAAACATGAGTATCATGGGTGAGAGCCATAGTACGTCTTTTGTACAAAGTAATTTTTTTTAATTTGTAAGAGAAAAGTATGGCAAAGGGTTAATAAAATTAAGTTTTACTAAAAAATTAAATCAAATTTTTTCAGAGATGCTATATTGTGTAAACTGTTATATTTGTATACGATAAAATATTCTCGTAATGAAGTATGCATGTGCATGCGTTCGTGTGTACGTATATTATTAAATTACAACTTCACATTTAATTACAATTTTCATATAGTATTTAATCAATTATTCTTTTTAATTTACTTATTACTATTTAATATTATTATTATTAATGTGAATATTATTTTTATATATTGTATATTTATATGAATATTATTTTTATTTATGTTTGATTTATAAACCACGTTCGTTAGAATTATTTATTTTTATATAATGAATTTGTTAACATTATATTATTATAAAATTCTGATTTAAAAATATACTTACTACAAACAATTTTTATGACACACCGAATTATGTCTTTTTTTTTTAAATTATTCTGTAGCTTTATATAAACTCAAATTTATAAGCGCCTTTCCAACCCACAATATGGCAGTGAGTCATGTGATCTAGGACCACTACATCAAAGGTGCCGATGTTCAGTGTCCATACTGTATGTACTTATAATGACTGTTTTCCAACTTGGACACAGAGATATTACACTGTGTTCCACTGTGTAAAGTACTTGTTGGAACGCAGTTTAATTTTATAGTGTTACACCAAAATGCATTGCAATCTTCCATTTTATTCTTATAATTATATAATACTTAGCGTATCAATAATAGATTTATGATTTTTAAACTTAAGTTATAATTTTTTCAGAATTGACGATTTTTGAAGTTTTATTGCAAAATAAGTACGGCTACCAAATAATTTTTTGAAAAGTTGGTAACATTGACATATTTTACACGTTCGTACTTAGCTTTTTACTATGTTGAGCAATGTAACACTGTGTTATCATAGTTGGAATATTTTGTGTAAGACACAGTGTGGAATATTTTGTGTACGTTGTTGGAAAACATCCACTGCATCGTGGACACACAAGGCTATTTGTTGGATTCATACTGAATCCGACATGCGTCGTACGATGCTTTGCAACCAATCAGAAAACAGGATTTTGCTTTGTATCATCGATACAAAATAAAATTCTGCTTTCTGATTGGTTGCAGAACGTCGGATTCAGTATGAATCCAGCATTAAGGCCATTCTACATTGGTCATATCGTAGACGTCGCAAGTCACAAGCTTGTCTTCAGCCAATCCGACGCTTTAATTTTAAAGTCTCATGATGCTCACGACGCTTCAACGCTATGATACGATCAATGTAGAATGGCCTTTAAAATTATCTAGGCATAATTCCTAAATGAACTAAACGTAGTCCTGATGTATACACTGATACACTCTCAAGTTTTCTCATGCTTCTCTTTAATAAAATATGTGTTGAAAACTGTATGATTAAACGTAAAATTAGAATAATAATTTTGCTACCAATAAAACTAACGATAAATAGGAAAACCACAACTTAAACGTAGTCTGAGGATTCAAGACATCATTCAAGACATTCTTGAATGATTTGTCAAACAAACGAGTCTGTCGGACGAGTTGGTCAAAATTGTTGCTTGATAGCTGTAATTTTGAAATTCAGTCACGATGCAACGGTACGATATTCTGATCCAGGAGATCGAAGGCATCGACGATTATTTGGGTCCAACGTTCCGGTAAGCGAATTTAATGGCTCAGAGATAGAGATTCCAGATTAAAATACGCGCTCCACCAAAATCTACCCCCTTCACGTAAATACAATGAACTCGCATATGCGCACTTGAGGGGGTGGCATCCCTTTAAAGAGGGATGGCATTGTAGACGCGTTAACCGCGTTTAACTTATATCCTCGAGCGAATTTTTCGAGCAAATTTGCAGTCACAACATTGTTGAAAATGTCAATTAGTTTATCACAAAATCTTCTGTCATCGATGGTGCCGAAGCACGAATACCTACTTTATGAAATAGAATCGACCGATACTAATAGCATAGGCCTCGTCTTCAGGTATGGCAAATATCAGGATGGCAAATGTGGTGGACAATTTAGAAATCCATACTATTATTAACAGCAAATTCCAGCCATTTCCATAATATTAGATTAGTGCGTGCTAAAAGTTGCTATGCCAAATATAAAGTATATAAATATTTTAAACGATTAAATACCCAAAAATGATATGACATTCCCCAACAATACATATATATATGTATATATATGTGTGTGTGTATGTATGTACATATATTTCATTGTCAAAGTTGAATTATATTATGTTGTCACATTTAAATACTTTATATAAAACAGCCTTTATTATACACTAGTTTAATATAGTAATAAATATATATTTATCATAAAAAAAGACGAGAAATGTCGTAACATTTAATTTATATTGCAGGGCAATTTACGATGGCCACGAACATCAGAAATTTATGGAAAAACTTGATGACCGTATTAAGGCTCATGATAAGGACATCGAGAGGATGTGCAATCATCATTACCAGGGATTTAACGATTCTGTTCGGGAGCTCTTGCAAGTTCGCTCGCAGGCACAACAATTAAATGTTAGTTTTATGTTTGAAAATAATTAGTGACAATACAAATATTTAACATGACATAGCAATGTTAACAGGATTACCAAAAGTTTTCAGTCACTAATAATTTTATTGTATGCTCAGGTAAAGAATCTTTACAAATGAAGATTTAATATATACTTAATATATTCTAGCATTTAAAATACTGTGTCCTTAAGTTGATTTCAATAAGCATTTTATTAAATATATTCTTAAACAGAATTAAATATATTCTTAAACAATATTGACAAAAATTATGAAATTATATGCTGGCCTAAAAACTTTTGGCAGCCATTGTGTAAATTACTCTTTAATTCAACTTCATCATTATATAGGCAGAGATATTGGACCTTGACAAATGCATCACCGCCACATCTACTAAAGTGATTGAAAAGGGTGAGGAACTCGTAAAAGCTCGCAAAGTTGAGAGCAACATGGCTGCTGCTGTAGACAGTCTCACTATGTGCCTTCCTGTCTTAGCCGCGTATGCAAAGTTGCAAAAACAATTAAAAGATAAACGTTACTATCCAGCCTTGAAAACGCTGGAGCAATTGGAGCATCACGATTTACCGAAAGTTACGAATTATAGGTTTTCTTCTCAAATTACTCAACAAATTCCACAGTAAGTGATTGAAAAAAATTTTTTTAATATCTCACTGTATTATATGTAACAATACAAAATATTATGGAATTATCTTTCTTCTAGATTGCGTGAGAATATAAAAGATGCATCTATGTCTGATTTAAGAGATTTTCTAGAAAATATTATAAAGCATTCACCAAAAATCGGGGAAGTTGCAATGAGACATGTTGGTATTTTCTTTTATTTTTATTTAATGTCTATAATTATATGATACATTATCTAGGTAGGCTTGTTATCTATGTATAATTTGTCAACTTTAGCAACTTTTTATATCAGACCGCTGAACAGTTAGCGACTGAGGCAGAAATTATAGGAAGAAAAAAAAAGAGAACTTACGTGAATCAGTCAAACGAGATCGAGGAGGAATTGAGTGCCCAAGATTTAATGGATTTCAGTCCTGTATATCGATGTATGCATATCTATACTGTGCTCAGGGAAGGAGAAACTTTTAAACTATATTATAGGCAACAAAGAAAACAACAAGCTGAGCTAGTTTTGGAGCCACCTATCAATATGGTAAATTCTATCACAGAATATTTTTCATGTCTATGTTCCTGTAATGAGAGATAGTTTTTTATTTTTAGCACGAGAGTATAGTCGAATATCAGACTTATTTACACGGTATTATTGGTTTCTTTGTGGTAGAAGATCATATATTGAATACAGGTAACGGATTAGCTACTCGCTCATACTTAGATGAGCTTTGGACCAAAGCTTTGTCTACCATAGTGTATGCTTTGCGCACATATTCGGTAAATTATTATACACACACTGTTATATTTTGTAATTATAATTAATATAAGAGAATTATATTTTTTAGGCATGTTGCACAGACGCTACACTTATATTAAAAATAAAAAATCTTATTATGTTATTCAATACTACTTTAAGGGTAGGTAGCAAAGTGCATTCGTCTTTTATTGTTCATATGATATGCATATATGATTTAAATGGTTTTTTTTCCGTTATTTATAAACAGGATTATGGTTACTCTGTAGAACAATTATGGGATTTGTTACAAGAAATTAGAGTACATTATAACGAAGTGTTGATGCAACATTGGGTTCAAGTATTCAGAGATATTTTGGACGAAGATAGTTTCTTGCCAATTCAGGTGATCATCAATATATTTATAAAACATTTAATCCCTTTAACCAGAGACTGTTAAATTATTTATTATTTTGTATATTTACTCATCACTCATCCAGGTTACAACACAAGCAGAATACGATAAAGTTTTAAATCTATTTCCTTATCACGACGATGAATTGCAAAAAGCCGAATTTCCGAAGAAATTTCCATTTTCTGATATGGTACCGAAGGTGTACCAGCAAGTGAAAGAATTTATCTACGCTTGCTTAAAATTCTCAGAGGATTTGAATTTCACGCAAACGGAAATTGATGAAATGATATGCAAATCAACAAATTTGTTATTAACAAGAACTTTCAGTGGATGCTTATCATCATTGTTTCGGAAACCATCGTTAGCACTTTTACAAGTAGTACAAATTATTATAAATACCGGATATCTCGAGAAATCTACGAAGTATTTAGAAGAATTTGTGACTAATATTACTGGGTAAACATCTAATGTATAATAATAATATTATTTCTTTTGTGAGCAACTAAGCATATATAATTTTTTAGCACACCTCATCAAGGTCAATTAAGTTGTATGGACGTGGAATCTGCTATGTTTCGAGTTGCACGTGAAGATGCTGAGAAGCAAATTTGCGATAAACTGAAAAATAAGCTGGATGAATTTTTGGAATTGGAGAATTACGATTGGAACTTGACAGAACCTCAAGGACATGCTTCGGGATTCATTACAGATCTTATTGCGTTTTTGCAGAGCACTTTCACATGTTTTACCAATTTACCGGTAAATATTACGACATAATATATGCGATTATGTATGCAATTTTTGGAATGTAATAAACGATAATTAACATTTCAGGATGAAGTAGCTCAAGTAGCATGCAAATCCGCGTGTTCTCACATCGCTAAAGCTATATTAGACATATTAATTAGTGAAGATGTGAAACAGATATCTATGGGTGCATTGCAGCAAGTCAATTTAGATACGATACAGTGCGAACGTAAAGTTTTATATTTTTCTTCATATAATGTTTCATAATATATATTTTTGAATATAAAAATTTAAATTATTACAATTTGCAGAATTTGCTGCTTCTGAACCAGTCATTGGTTTACCAGAAGGAACCTTGTTGCAGTATTTCTCGCAATTGCGACAGTTACTAGATTTATTTATGAGTTGGGACTGGCCTACTTATTTTCATGATTACGGTCATGATTCTAGTAAATATGATTTAGTAACCCCGAATATGGCTGTACTTCTGCTGGAAAAGTACATACTATATATATATTTTTTTTGCATCTTTGTTTTATATGTATTAATGTGCATCATTATATTGATATATAAACATGTGTTTTTAGATTGAAAGAATCTGATAAAAAAACGGTGTTCTCTGTGTTAAAAAAAAGCGAAAGAGACAAAAAGAAATTGCTTGAAACTGTATTAAAGCAATTACGTCAACTAGCACAGACTACTCAACAGCAATAGAAGTTAAAATCAATTATATATTTACAGGAGTCCCAGAATATTTAGGACAATGCTCGTGTGCAAATAGAGCGGATTAAATTGAGTCGAAAGGAATCTTCTATCATCTTTCAATTTTTGCAGTAGTTAACAAAATATTAATTTCTAAAGATCGCCAAATAAGCGCGCATCTGTCTGACCTCAAATACACGATCGTAGTCGTTAAGTCGGGAGTTTACTACAAACGACAATAGTTTTAACATACAACGACAAAAGAAAATAATTGTTCATGCAATTGTATCTTACCACGCGCTTGCATTTACTATTATATCTTTTTTAGTCCTATTGCTCGTGTCCGAGCGTGGTGACTTCTTCTCATATACTTAATGCACACGCTGGTTGTACACAGTTTATATGGGTCCTACAATTTAATGTCGATTTCGAAGTGATGAAATTTTTGTTTAGAGAAGTGTTCTTGGGCAAGGATATTCTCGATGGTTGCCACTTCCTTCCGAGAGAAGAACGAGTGTACGTAAAATTTGGTTTTATTGGGAATCGAACCTGGGATTTCCAGCATAGCAGACCAATGTTCTATCTATTCTGCCATTCGCTCTCAAGATTACTATATACTATTACATGCTATTACAAAAATTATAAAATGCTAGAGAACTTTTCTATTCAGTTTAATTCTACCTGTACATGAGCATTGTCATAGATATACACCCTGTATATGTACATGTATCTATGTATGTATGTACGTCTGTACATTGGAAATGTGTAAATATACACTAATTTTTATATATTATTGCAAAAACGTGACTCTTAAAAATGAATATTTATTATGAAAGTATATTTGTTTTTCACACCTACAAGCTCCTTAATAATATTTTGTATATTTTACAAATATTTTTTTATTATTTATTGATTTTACATTATTTTCAATGTGTATAAATATTTATATAAATACGCAGGAATTAATATGGAGGAGAAATAAGAATTGAAGTAATATATATTTGTATTCTCATATACCTATTATTTGAATTTCCTCTGTGTTGGCATTGTTATATTCTATATAAATAGGTCACACATAGGTCATATAATTATTACAATGGATTAAGTATGATGTATGTATAAAGTTCCAATTGCTGTACTTCATATATAGTGTAATTATTCTTGGAATTATACAAAAAGTTTGATATAATTGTTCATTCGATCACAAGAAATTTACGACATTACGCCATTAACAACGCCAAAATTTTTCGTACCAAAATGTAAAGTAAATATATGTAAATTGATTTAGAAATATGAGTTATATTATTGAGATATTAACATAGAAATTAAATACAAATTAACAATAATTCCAGTAAAATGGCACCAATAGCACAACGCCTGGCTCATGACAAATACAACAGTAAAAATAAAACAAATAATACATAAATATGTATTGCATAAATATGTATTGGTATAATTTAAGTGTGTGATGCAAATTTGTAATCATTCATCAATATTATCGGGATTCACATCATCAGATAGCATGAAATATTTGGAAGCTACCAAATACTTAAAAAAAAAAGAAAGAAAATTTTAATATTTATTAGTCTATATAAGGTGTTTGATAAGTACCAATAAAAATCTCGCACAGAGATAGAACGGACTAAACTGAGTCAAAAAATCTACCATTTTATAATTTTCTACCATTTTACAATTTTCTACCATTTTTCAATAATTAACGAGATATTAATTACTAAAAATCCCCTATTCATCAATCGTCTATTCATCAATATGATTTTATTATTCAATTTTACTTATTGAAGCACGGTTATTTATATCAGCGAAATATTGCTCCGATTTACTCGATACATTACTCCGAATAGTTTCTAAATTTTTTACTCTGAATATTAAAATTTCCTTTTTCGCGGGGATCTATATATTACTTTGGCCACAATATATACAGGGTGTATTCCGATATACACTGTCAGTACTGGTAGTGAATACTAGTCTAACTCTGAATCCATTTCAATCCATTCTCATTTGCTGGGTATTTTTCAATATATTGTATTTACAATTTATTTTTATTAATCTTCATAAAATTTAAATTATTTCATTGCAATATTAGGTTTATTCGTGCACTAATATGCTCCAATATGTTCCTATAATAGCACTTGCTCACTTCAATTCGTTAGATTGCAATGCGAATAAATCTAGTGAGTTTTGCGAGGAATTTTGACAGAGTGAAAAAAAAGGATGAAAAGAGAAAGAAGTTTAGGTGGTAACCGTGGCAACGCTAAGTAATTCATTTCCTGCATAGTTGCGCTACTGTACGTACTGTGGTATTTCGCGTATGTCTGATTTCGCGGTTAACAAATTTCCTAACCTGAAGTCGTCAATTTTGACGCTTAATATCTCAGTTTGAGAGGCAGGGTGATCAGATTCGTTCATTTCGTAGCTACATTGAACAATTAGCAAATTGTCGAACATTTTTTAAGTATTTCAATCACAAATTTGGTCCGACCTTCCGTTTAAATGCCACATGATAAGAAGATCATACGGCGTAGCCGATCTCGCGATCGTGAGCGGGAACGCGATCGAGAGCGACGTGACCGTCGGCGCACTAGAAGTCGATCCAAGGACCGCAAAAAGGACAGGAAGCGGTCCAGATCGAGAGAACGATCACGGGAACGCGATAGATCGCGCGAGCGTGACAGGTCGCGAGAAAGGGAACGTGAGCGCTCGAGGGAACGTCGAGACATAAAGGACAGATCCAAGGATGAGAAAAAGCGCAAAGGTAGTCCCACCTTTGCTGAAGATGACTCAAAGAAAGATCTGAAGGCCGACGCTAAGAAAGAGGAAGAAGAAACGGAGGAGAAGGCCAGGTTGGCGCCAAAAAAAGAACCATTGAGTTTGGAGGAACTCCTGGCCAAGAAGAAAGCAGAGGAGGAAGCTCGAGCTAAGCCTAAGTTTCTCTCCAAGGAAGAACGAGCGGCCTTGGCATTAGAGAAACGTCAGCAAGAGGTTGAAGCTATCAGGAAGCAGCAGGAAGAAGAGCGCAAGCTGTTATCCCACAGTGATAATACTAGCAAGGAGAGGGAATGGGATGACAGAGACAGGTATTACGAGATTTCACTTGGAAATATTATATTATTCAAAAATTAATTGTATGATCCTGTAATATTTTTAATATATTTGCCTTCATAAACTATAGTTGATAATAGTATATCTTTTTAAAATCTGTAGTTGATTGATAATGTAATAATAATATGTTTTGTGCCTTTACATAAAGATTTGAAATCAATTATAGATTAAGATTAAGTTAGATTTTAAGTTTATTGTATCCGGTTTCTAATTCTAGACAGATGAAAAAATATTACTTAGCTACAAAAGTGTTAATAGATAAGATAGCATAGTGTTGATTCTTAAAAATTATTTGCTACATATTAAAACAAAAATATTAGTGAGTTAAATTTGAGAGACGAGAGTATTAGTATTTTAGACTGATATTGTGTCGAAAGTCGACGGACAATCATATTTCTGAGATAAAAATTTATTTAAAATATACATATTGTGTGTGTGTGTGTGTGTGTATCAGTCTAAAATAAAATCTAACTTCCACCTTAATGAGCACTTCTCTTTATATTTATTCATATAAAGAGTCCTACTTTAAACCTTAATTATTGTTAACAATATATTTTTCATTAGTAGAAGGAGAGAAAGCCAACGCTCGCGTGATGAGGATATTAAAGACAAGGATAAAGAGAAGGAAGTGGAGGCGATCAAAGAACGATATTTGGGTCTGATAAAAAAGAAGCGGCGAGTTAGAAGACTGAATGATAGAAAATTTGTTTTTGACTGGGATACTTCAGAAGATACGTCTGTGGATTATAACAGTATTTACAAAGAGAGACATCAAGTGCAATTTTTTGGTAGAGGCAACCTTGCAGGTATCGATATTAAAGCACAGAAGCGGGATCAGAGCAAGTTTTACGGTGAATTATTAGAGAAAAGACGCACAGAAGCTGAGAAGGAACAAGAGAAGTGAGTATTGTCGTTGACTATATGACTAGTATTTCTTTTTAATTGTAGATTTCCAACATATAGAATTTCGTTATCTGAATAGATTTGCAGTACAGATTCTATGATACAGAATATCCTATTTTACTTTCCTCAGGCTAATTGTTTGAAAACTGAACAAGCTAAAACATTTCAGACAAAAATTGTGTATCTAGGAAAATGTCTTAAAATTGTCTAGAAAGAAATGAATAATTGTAAATAGGATTCTTTTAAATGTTCTGAAAGACATTACAGTAGAATTATAAAAAATTAAAATAGTTTATGAAATATTTTATATCTTGGCATATCTTAATATGGTAATATAAAATATTTGTAAGCTATTAATTTTTTTGATAACTGTAAACTCTTTCTCTTATTGGAGCAGTGGAATGTATGTCTATATCCTATGTTTTTTTTCTCAATCTTTTTAATGTTTCTTTAATCATTAATTAATATAATAGCACATAATATAATATTTATATAATTTATACTTTTGAAAACTTAAACTATCATTTTCTGGTAATACTTTATTTAATTAAGCAGTATGTTTTAGTTATAAATAAATTAAAATAAAAAGAACATGATTTTCCTCGAATTAATTGGACTGGATATTATTAAAATAAAGTTAGAAGACTGGAAATTTAAACAAATATTAAGTAAATTTTAATTTACAATATATGATTTATTGAGAATATTTTTATATATTTGTTTTTTTACTTTAAAAATCTTGGATATGTAAAAATATTAAAGGTACATTTTTTTTTATAAGGGAAGGGATTCAAATATCTTCCTCTGATAATTTTGATGAGTTTATATCATTTTAAATTTGTTAACTTTGGAACCTACTAATAACAAATTAGACACTTCTATATAGAAACCTCAGCTTGTGTGTCTCATTCAATGTCTTTATATAATAATAATCTTTATACTAACTATCTTGAACGTATTCTATTTCACAAGATAGTAGTTTCATAACAAGTCACAAATCAAGTAATTTAATAATTTTTATTCGTTCCCAACTTCTATATAACTGACTTTAAACCTCCTTTTTATATATCTTTAAATAAATATTGATAAAAAATTAGTTAGTCCCAATAAAAATTTTTTATACTAAATAGATTTTTTATACTAATAGAATTTCTTGATTAAATTAAAATAAAATTGTCTTTTATAATTAATTTTATGTTATATTGTTATCATTACTACTTATAAGAATTATTTCCTATAAATTATGTATTTTGCTCAATTTTAAGAATGAGATTGAAGAAAGTGAAACGAAAAGAGGAGAAACAAAAGTGGGATGATCGACACTGGTCCGAAAAAGCTTTGAATGAGATGACCGAACGTGACTGGCGTATCTTCAGAGAAGACTATAATATCACGATAAAGGGTGGTCGCATTCCTGATCCCATCCGCTCTTGGAAGGAATCTGGCTTCCCAAAGGAAATTCTAGACATAATTGATAAAGTTGGTTACAAGGACCTTACGCCCATTCAACGACAAGCTATTCCTATTGGTTTGCAGAATCGTGATATCATCGGTGTCGCTGAAACTGGTTCAGGAAAAACTCTAGCTTTTTTAATTCCTTTGCTATTATGGATTACTAGTTTGCCGAAAATTGAGAGACTCGAAGAAGCGGATCAAGGACCTTACAGCATTATTTTGGCACCTACCCGGTATCAATTATTTTTTTAATTATTTTGTTTTCATTATGTTTTTATTTGTTTAAAATTGCAGATATTAGTTAATATTGTTGTTCGATTAATCGTCTA